GAATTATAGAATCATAGAATGGCCTGGGTTGAAAAGGACCTTAAAGATCATCTAGTTTCAACCATCCCTTTCTGGGCAGGGTTGTCAACCACTAGAGCAGGCTGCCCAGAGCCTCATCCAGCCTGACCTTGAATGCCTCCAGGGATGGGGCATCTGCAACCTCTCTGGACAGCCTGTGCCAACCAGTGCCTCACTACCCTCTGAACGAAAAACTTTCTTCTAATATCTAACCTAAATCCCCTCTCTCTTAGTTTAAAACTATTCCCCCTTGTCCTATCTCTATCAACACATATTAACAAGTGTTCCTCCTCCTGTTTATATGCTCTCTTCAAGTACTGGAAGGCTACAATGAGGTCTCTCCAGAGCCTTCTTTTCTCCAATCTAAAAAAGCCCAGTTCTCTCAACCTTTCTGCATAGGAGAGGTGCTCCAGCCCTCTGATTGTCTTAGTGGCCCTCCTCTGGACCTGTTCCAAGAGATCCAAATCCTTCTTGTGCTGGGGGCTCCAGGCCTGCACAAGGTATTCCAGTTTCGTTAGGGTTGCAACAGACTAAGCATTAATGGTCACATATTATAAACACCCATGTGCAAAGAAAAAGAAAAAGGAAAAAAAAATACTTTCTCACTTTTCTGCAGTTAAGTTGTTAGAAAAAACACAGAACACAGTATTTTTAGTATGTTTAGTATGTTTAGTGTACCAAATTGGCCCTAGCTATGTTCCACCAACTGCTTAGCTAAGTCAGGATCTTGATAGATGGAAAGAAAAATGAAAAATATTAAGACAGGTGAGAGAAAAAGACAGCAATAGGAATCAACATAGCAGGGAGGAAAGAGCAAAAAGCTTATGTTTGCGGTTCAGGATGATTTTCAAATGTAACTGTAGGGATGATGTCCCTTTCCTTATTTATTCTGCTTAAGACATCTTAGAAGTTAAAGAAAAAAATCCCTGTCATTAAAATAGAAAAGCTGTGGATTTTAGCATTCTAAAACATCTATTAAAATAGTGTTCTGATAGTATTACCAAAATCTGTTCCAGTTCATGATTTTCAGTGGTATTCTATCTGTTGTAGTTGTTTAGCATCACCTGTCAGATCCCTTGCAACTTATGTGTGAAACAGAGAATGATTTAATAGATACAATTTTTCAATAAAAGTTAGGAGTTACTGACTGTAAAAGAAAAATAATAAACCTGAGTGCTCTTTTCATCAAAGCACTTTCACCTGAAATTTCTAATTTGTCAGAGACAAATTGTCCCATCACATTGTATTCATTTGTGAAGAACACAAACATGGAAATGCTAATAAATAGTTCATTACCTAAAAATGGGGAAAAAAGACATCTGGACAGATTAAGACAATAAAGAGAGCCAGGCACCATGACCTTCCAAATTATACATTTCTTTAGCTCTAGAACAGTTCAGTATTAGATAATCACAAAATATTTTTTAATCATTTAAAGGGAAATGGGACATAATTTAAGTTCTGTCTTTCTTCTAATTGTTTGTTGTTATGTATCTGTGTGCCTTGACTCCATTTAAGATTGTGATTAAAAAGTATTTAAACAATTAATAATATGAAACTAACAAAGAAACCAAAATTTTATACAAATAATTTTATAATCAAACTATGTACTTGAGACCCCTACATTATCTAGCTAAATGAAAATATATATATATATTACACATCCCTTGAAAAATACATATTTTTCAATATTTTTATTCTTTGGATACCCACCTGAAAGAAAAAGATACCTCCATAAGAAAAAGCAGAATATGTAACATTCAGATGTGGTATAAGGAACAAATCCCCTTTTTTATTTTCTTAGCTTTAATAGCCTATCATAATGTAATTCATGTCATTCTAATCATTCAGATGAAATGTTCTTCATTGTATTTCCATGTTTCTTTCTCCTTCTGCTGAAGAAGAAAGAAACAGAAAATGGATAAAAAAGAAACAATAATGTTTTAATTCCTGATAAATAATCAGTATATAGTTCATTCTTACATAGAATCTCTGTGGTTTTTCCATTATTTTTACTCAAGGATAGAGAAAAATCTAGCTGTATGGTATAAATAAATAAATAAATAAATTTATATATTTATATAAATATATAAATAAAATATAGGTATACAGATATAACTATATTAAAATAATTTAAATGAACATCAATAAAGAAGGTGTGTCAAATTCAAATATTTTTATTATTATTTTTAATTGGACAAAACACTCAATGCAGTGAAAAAATACACTTCACCTTCTCTTTTTCAGACCGAGCAGTCAGAGTTTGAATAGGAGAAGACTGAAGTTTGAATAAGAGAGACTGAGGGGATCTAAATCACTTCTTTTTCACAAAACAGCCTCATACCTACTGATTTCTCTTCATCCCATTTTTCTTCTTGTTTCGTGTGAAGTGGAGGGGAGCAAAGAAGTTGGGAGAAGATATCATTCTCCCTGGAATTAAGAAACCAAATATTATTTATTTAAAACATAATTAAGACTTCATAAAAATTCTACTCAGTATGGGCTAAGCTTTTTCCTGGCATAAACAAAACAAAACAACAATGACAACAACAACAACAACTTTTTTGTTTGTTTTTTTTTTTTTTTTGTTCAAGTTTCATCCCCTGGTGGAATTTTATTCCTTGACTTCATGATTTTTAGTACTATTATTTCAGAAAATTTTAAAGCAATTTGCAGACCAAACACATGGAAATTACATTCCTTCCACTGAAGTGTAACTACTTGGAATGTGCTGATTTATGGTAATGTAGCAGAAGATAAGAAGAATGCAACTGTCTAACTGGAATTGGATAGTAAATTGATTTGCCCAAAATATAATTTAACCAAGACATTTCAATTAGCAACTCTATGCTTGTTAGAAGTGTCACAAGAAGCTTGATTACTATAGCTAGTAAGAACATTAATTTTGCGCTTTATATGATGGATGGAAGCACCAGCCGCACTGATTCTTATTTTTCTCTGAGATTATTATTTCTCTAAGCTATAACTGCGTCATGAAAATAATTAATTAAACTTATCATTAATTCCAATCTTTTAGAGATGTTGCAGAGGAATAAAGTTAAAAAACAAAACAAAATTTATCATGCCCTTAAAATCGTTTTCATCCATTCAGACCTACAAACTCTATTGTACAATACATTTATTTCTACATGTGTTAAAACACAGATTCATTTAAGGAAAATCTGAACTAGTTTTGGATGTTCCTCTTTTATCTGTGCTAATGTGTTGGATTTTCTGTTGTACTTAACTTGGAATCTCGATTTTGTAACGCTTTCTAGGATACTTACAGTATGCTTAAAATCATTTTAAACTGAAAAGTACTGATAGAAATGCAGTAAAATGAAGTCCAAGCTGAACAAAATGATTGCACAGCCATGTAAGTTCTACTGTCATGAGACACAGGTTGTTCTGCCAAAGAGGGCAGATTTAATGAGGACATGGTGTTTCCACAGCCTTACATTAAATTCAGATCTGACTAGACCATTTGTTTTTGTCTATGAATAACTGGAGATAATACTTTTCTTACAACAGCTTTGATAAATGTATTTGTTTGGAATAGAAGGATGAATGGGTCTGACACTTAAAACTAGAGCTGGGTCTGTTCTGTAGATATTGCTTTGCCTTTCTGCAGACAGTTGCAACATTGCAGCTTCCAACACAGTCAATGTCAGCTTGTCAGATGCTTGGAGGGGTGTCAGCTTGGGTTACCGCTTGTGTAATTGCCACCAAGAACAAACCCAAGGGCTTGAAATAGTGTTTCCACTATTGTGAATTGTAAATGTATGACATAAAATAATTAAATTTTATTTTTAAACGGGCTTTGCGAGATTCTCTTTTGAATTTTGAATAATAAAAGTAACATTTTCTATCTAAGATCTGAAATTCTATCTTGAAACAAACTCAGAAACATACATTTATGAGTGTATTTACACTGCTGGCCTTTTTCTGACTATTTAAACATTAACTTTTATTGCATAGCTGCTTTTGCTATGTAAGTATCAGCAGTAGAAAGGGCACTTTTTTTGTTGTTATATTTATTAATATGTTCCCTACTTTTGAGGACTTTATAGAAAAAGAAATTAATGTTTGCAGACTTTTTATAAATATCTATTTGTAAGAAGAAACAATCCATGTTTCTTATTGTATTTTTTTTTTCTGTCCCATCTAGTGAGGGATTCTAATTCTTCCAAGTTTACCATGCTTAGTATTCTGCTCAGGTTTCCTCTCTAGCTTCTGGAGTACAACATTCTTGTTCTGCTCTGCCATTTTTGTTGTAAGGAGCTTGGGTCAGCATCTTTAAGTGTTTTCTCTAAATTTATTTCAATTCAAAGAACACAGTTGTTGTTTTTCCCTATATTGATTTTGATAGCTTCAATTAAACGTGTTTTCTTCATATAAGAATCAAAGAAATTCTGTCACATACTAAATTGTTCCTTTCTAACTGTCACTAATGAGAATATTAGCTCCTCTTCTCGCTCCATGAGATATACATTTTAAAGATTTTGTAACTTTTATTTGATTAACTCACCAAGATTTATCTGTATTTATTGATTTATCTGATATATCTGTACTGTCAATTGTGTTATATTTCTGTTTTGTTCTTTTTAAAATTGGATGGAATTCCCAACTATCCTAATTAATGTTTTGCAAGACAGAGTAGACAAAGGCACATTGCCTATTCATTCATCATAATTATCCCAATGATACAACAGATAACAATTAATTTGTCTGCAAAGATGTGCTGTGAATACCGTTTTAGTTTGTAGCACATGAAATTATAACAGCTACTGCACAAATAACTTGCTGAAATAAGCAAATAAATAATGAAATTTATGTGCTGACTGAAGCCAGTTCTGAGTCCACAAAATAATGGGGACTTCAGTGCTCTTCAAATTCCCAGTAGGTATTTAGGTCTAAATTCCTACAGCTGTGCTTTAACTTCTTTTCAGTGGTCTACTTACCAGAACTACTACGTATATGGAGGCCTCACAAACAGCCTGCATAAGCAACAGACTGATGAAAAAAAGGCCTACATAAAGACTAGACTGATAGAAAAAGTGCCTGTGGGTGAGCCCAGAGGGTTCCAAGTCATTGGATGACAAGGTGGTAAGAAAAATTTGCTTTGGCAGCTGAGGTCCTTCAAGCTCTGAAGGGATGCCTCCCCACCATGGGCCAGTCCTGGCATGTTTTCTAGCCATGTGGATGTTTCTGAAGTTAACGCAAAGGACATTGTTGTTGATATCTTCTGAGGAGCTCTTCTCTTCCTCTTCTTTTTTTCTCATCTGACTGTATGACAGAGTAGAAACAGTTTTATATAGCATGTTTTGAAATCTGGCTGAGATTTTGCTTTTTTTTTTTTTTTTTTTTTTTTTTTAACTTTTCTTAAATTCAAATGCCCACCTTTGTGTTCCCTCAATTCCCAAGTTCTAGTTAAGTCACAGACTAATGTCTCCTTCCGATATTTGCAACGCCATGAGCTTCTCAGAGTCCTAATGCAACTATGGCTTAATATAGATGGAGTTTTTGGTTTCATTAAGGTAAATTAATGATAGAAAATCAGAATGGCGTGTATGATCTTTTGTTTTCAGACATCATTGGTATGTTTCTTCCTTTGACTCTTTTTCCATCAGTTGGTTTTGTATAACTGGACAAGCCATTTTGGTTTTTAGTAGGTCTGTGAATGCTGTCAGTGAATAGTATTATTAGAAGCGGTTGCTGACAACACAGATGAGCCATTATATTGTTTCTTTACTGAAAATGAAAGAGTTCTTATAAAAGTAAAAACGTAGAGGAAAAAAACCTATGTTTCAGTCTAAAACCCACATTTTCTTTTAATTAGGTGTAAGCCATATGCCTTGAAATATTAAGGTGAGGAGAATATATTATCACTTGAATGACAAGTTAAACCCCACTAGATTATTTATTAATGTGAGAATAGTAATTAGAATTTGGACCTAAATGTTTAATGTTTCAGGTTTCCTCAGAACTGCACTTGCTTGTGAATTAGAGGTTATACTTTCAAAACAATTTTTATTTCCACAATCTTTTTAAATGCTAGAAAAAGGGGAGTGTGGAGGTCATATACCCACCCACTCTTCATATGAGGCAGATTTCAGAATACAATGAAGTAGATGAGGACTTCTCTCACTCATCTCTTTCTGTCTGTCAGTGTGCCACACACAGTAATGTTTTAATCTGTCATGCCATCACCCTTGCTAAAACTGGAAGTCAATGCTGAGCTGTCCACCCACAGTTTTCCTGCCATGCTATCCTTAAGTGTGCAGAGAAACAGCAATTAAACAGACTGGTTTGGCTCTGGACCCCTGTGAAGAAAGGCTAGAAGCAGATCACGGATAACTGTGAATGGCTGGATTTAATCAGACTCTATAAAAGCTTCTCAGAATAACTGTGGTAATTGAAATTAAAATAAATAAATAAATTAATTAAAAACAGAACAAAACAATTTTCCAGGAAAACAGCTTTCCTGTTTACTTTTAACTCTCAGAAATAATGGTAGATAGTCTCTTCAAACCAAGGAAGAGGCAATTTGAATAAGACACTGGAGAAAGCAGTAAGATTTTCTTTCCATTCAGTTAATGACAATAAAGATAGAGGAAGAGGAAACAATGTAAAACATACTAAAAATACAACAACCCCCTAAATATTTGTTAATGCATGTTCAATTTTGTTTTATTTATTTATTCTCTTAAAGAGCCTGAATGGAAAACAAAGTGATGAAATGGTCTGTAAGTGATAACATGGTCCATGAGGATGTTAAGGAAAGGATAGCTGTAATGATAATAATAATAATAATAATAATTAATAATAGCTGTAGTGGACAGAGGAAATTATTTTATTTTATTTATTTATTTATTTATTTTGTTCAAGATTACACAATTTTCTGAGTTCAGAGATTTCTGTTGAAAAACTGTAGACTTTAGAATAGGCTGTAGACTGGCATATGATTTTCTGTGGGCTGAATTTGTCTTGTATGTTTGAAAATATAAAATAACCTGAAAGTAAGGAGAGATCTCGAGAGGCCCACTTGAAAGAACAGATATATGTTGAAGCTGTAAGCTTAAATACATTCATAGTCTATATGAATGACATGATACATGTACAATTTATATAGCTGCATCTTCTACATCTAAATATTAAAATTTTATAGCCGCTATTTTTGTTTGTTTGTTTGTTTGTTTTGTTTTGTTTTCTCCAGAAGGAAGCTGAATTTTTTACTTTGGAAGTTAAATCTTCCATGCAAATGATAACACTAGGCAAAGAATAAAGTATTTGAGAAATTAACAAGTGGCTGTCAAAGACTAACCAGGTAATGAATTTTATATACTCTATGTAATTTGAATAAATTAAGTGGGAGCAGAGAATGGTCTGGAGCACAAGCATTGGCATAGTTTATAACTACTATTGTACTTTCTAGCTTAATGTTTGCTTGCATTAAACAGATTATGTCTAGACACTTGCCAGGTATTCTGCCTAGCATGATCTGAATGACTGAAACAGAGTTCAAGTGTATTAATCTATGCAATGACATGTTATTTGTTGTCCTTAAAGTATGGTCTCTTTCCTTTTTTTTTTTTTTCCCTGAACATACTTTCTATTATATTTTTAAAACAAAATATTTAATTTGAGAGGAGAGAAGAGGGGAGGGAATTGACACAAGCAAGCAAACAAACAAACAAACAAAAATTAACAAACATAATAACGATAAAAATTTTCTGACATTGACATTTAATATACCTTGAAAGTAATTTTATTTTTTTTTTCCAGGAAAACTGCAGCAAAAACAACATGCAGTTTTACATTGATTGAACTTACACATTAGCTTCATGCACTATCAAAGTCTTGAACTTGCACAGATAAAAATTTTGTTCATAATTTGTAGATACTGTCTGACAAAAGGATAAGAAATGAATCATACATTGTCAACAACAACTTGATCTTAGTCAATTTGCTAAATACATTTTCTCTCTTCTCCTTTTGAAATTTCAAAACAAAATTCAAAGAGAGACTTCCATGTAAGCAAATAAAAGGATTTCTGTGTGTATGGATGTTATTAACGCTCATAGGTTATGGAAATATACTTGTGTTTGTACATATATGCTCGCGCACACAGGTAGAAAAGTACAATGAAACTGAGCAAATAGGATGTCTAATGTGTAACTTTTTATACCCTTACATTAGGCAGAAACCTAATCTGAGTACATAAACATAGACAGAAAGACTGAGGAAGACAACATAGGATTTAAGATAATTTTAAAGTATTTTTTTTCATGTTTCTCCCTAGTTTTATTTCATACTCACACATTAAAATATGCAATATCGCTTCTAATACAAGTTTAATTTCCTTTTCATTTCTTCAGGTATGACATCTACATATATGTTAGGTTTATCCACTTAGAAAGAGTATATTTATTAAGTGATTTAGGAAAGCAGTTGTCAAATTTGAAACCTGTCTTTTTTTATGGTACAGCAAGTAGTAATATACCGAATCTTCTAGGCTTACACCCCTGCATTTAAATTAAATTCTCTATCAGAAATGCTTGAATAGATTAAATGTGCATATAAAACCTAAGATTAACTGGCAAGCAGAAGTTAGATCACACCTGGTCAGAAAGTTCAGATACTGAGTAGTCATGGGCCTCCACTGCAATCTCTGACTGCCTCAGGTGCAGAAATAAGGCTCTACTTCTGCGCTACTCATCTTGAATTCTGGTCGCATACTTCATGTATTCAACACAAAAAAGTACTTTTTGTTGTTGTTGTTGTTGTTTGTTTTAAAATTAAATTTAATAAGTGATGGTCCCTGTCAGCTTCATCACTCCTCTCTGAAAGATCAAGAGCTATAACAAGAAGCAATATTAAGGGAAGATTAAAAGAGACTCAAGCAAATGAGAGAATTTAAAGGACTAAAATCTAAACAAAATCAGATAGCTAGATAAAAAGATAACCAGTAGAGAGACATCAGATCTGTGACAACAAAAATATAGGCAGTGGCATAGGCAGGAATTAAATGAAAATAAAGGTGAGTGAGTCTCAGAAGAGTAAAGCACAGGGATGGGGGAGGTAAAAGAACAGAGAAAATATCAGCAAAAAGGAGGAAAGAAGGATCAAAGTAAAAAAATAGATGTACAAGACATAAAGAGAAGTTACAGATCAAGCCTAATATTGCATTTTATAGGTAAGTCATCAAACAAACACCTCAAATTTTGAAATGATACCAGGGAAAGAATCTGTCTTACTGGAAGATTTAGCAGAAAAATAAATAAATAAAACAAAGTATTAACACAATAGATATTATTTCAGGTGAAACCATTGTGTATTTCCACAGTTAGACCTCCATTTATTTATAATGCGAAAATATGCATCACTTTAATGGATACTAAACTGAAGAAATTTCACACTTAGTTCAGTATCAGCTAGATCAAAACCAAAAGGGTTAGAAAGGACAGAGGGAAGGACATGGTCATAAAAGCTTTATATAGTTGTTAATAGCTGTGAGTTCTGCACAGTATAAGTGCTCCTGAAACAGCAGTCACTTCATAAGGCAAAACGATAACAATGTTAGTATATGGAAAAAAAGCAAATTCTTGTTAGCATATAACAACAGGGATAAATGTTTTATTTTTGCTCTATTGAAAAGAAATAGAGAACATCTAAAGAGAAAATAACTTCTTATCTAGATTTCCCATACAACGAGAAAAAAGGTTTTGTAAAAGAGAAATGAGAATAACTTCTCACATAACCCAATCACAGCAAAGAAAATAGAAACATTTTCTCTATACATATTAAGAAATGGTGTTTGTTTGTTTGTTTTTTAAAGCTTGGAAACACTATGTATGGAAGTGGTTAAATAATTAAAACACATTATTATTATTATTATTATTATTATTATTATTATTATTATTATTATTAGATTTAATCAGACTCTATAAAAGCTTCTCAGAATAACTGTGGTAATTGAAATTAAAATAAATAAATAAATTAATTAAAAACAGAACAAAACAATTTTCCAGGAAAACAGCTTTCCTGTTTACTTTTAACTCTCAGAAATAATGGTAGATAGTCTCTTCAAACCAAGGAAGAGGCAATTTGAATAAGACACTGGAGAAAGCAGTAAGATTTTCTTTCCATTCAGTTAATGACAATAAAGATAGAGGAAGAGGAAACAAGGTAAAACATACTAAAAATACAACAACCCCCTAAATATTTGTTAATGCATGTTCAATTTTGTTTTATTTATTTATTCTCTTAAAGAGCCTGAATGGAAAACAAAGTGATGAAATGGTCTGTAAGTGATAACATGGTCCATGAGGATGTTAAGGAAAGGATAGCTGTAATGATAATAATAATAATAATAATAATTAATAATAGCTGTAGTGGACAGAGGAAATTATTTTATTTTATTTATTTATTTATTTATTTTGTTCAAGATTACACAATTTTCTGAGTTCAGAGATTTCTGTTGAAAAACTGTAGACTTTAGAATAGGCTGTAGACTGGCATATGATTTTCTGTGGGCTGAATTGTCTTGTATGTTTGAAAATATAAAATAACCTGAAAGTAAGGAGAGATCTCGAGAGGCCCACTTGAAAGAACAGATATATGTTGAAGCTGTAAGCTTAAATACATTCATAGTCTATATGAATGACATGATACATGTACAATTTATATAGCTGCATCTTCTACATCTAAATATTAAAATTTTATAGCCGCTATTTTTTGTTTGTTTGTTTGTTTTGTTTGTTTTGTTTTCTCCAGAAGGAAGCTGAATTTTTTACTTTGGAAGTTAAATCTTCCATGCAAATGATAACACTAGGCAAAGAATAAAGTATTTGAGAAATTAACAAGTGGCTGTCAAAGACTAACCAGGTAATGAATTTTATATACTCTATGTAATTTGAATAAATTAAGTGGGAGCAGAGAATGGTCTGGAGCACAAGCATTGGCATAGTTTATAACTACTATTGTACTTTCTAGCTTAATGTTTGCTTGCATTAAACAGATTATGTCTAGACACTTGCCAGGTATTCTGCCTAGCATGATCTGAATGACTGAAACAGAGTTCAAGTGTATTAATCTATGCAATGACATGTTATTTGTTGTCCTTAAAGTATGGTCTCTTTCCTTTTTTTTTTTTTTCCCTGAACATACTTTCTATTATATTTTTAAAACAAAATATTTAATTTGAGAGGAGAGAAGAGGGGAGGGAATTGACACAAGCAAGCAAACAAACAAACAAACAAAAATTAACAAACATAATAACGATAAAAATTTTCTGACATTGACATTTAATATACCTTGAAAGTAATTTTTTTTTTTTTTCCAGGAAAACTGCAGCAAAAACAACATGCAGTTTTACATTGATTGAACTTACACATTAGCTTCATGCACTATCAAAGTCTTGAACTTGCACAGATAAAAATTTTGTTCATAATTTGTAGATACTGTCTGACAAAAGGATAAGAAATGAATCATACATTGTCAACAACAACTTGATCTTAGTCAATTTGCTAAATACATTTTCTCTCTTCTCCTTTTGAAATTTCAAAACAAAATTCAAAGAGAGACTTCCATGTAAGCAAATAAAAGGATTTCTGTGTGTATGGATGTTATTAACGCTCATAGGTTATGGAAATATACTTGTGTTTGTACATATATGCTCGCGCACACAGGTAGAAAAGTACAATGAAACTGAGCAAATAGGATGTCTAATGTGTAACTTTTTATACCCTTACATTAGGCAGAAACCTAATCTGAGTACATAAACATAGACAGAAAGACTGAGGAAGACAACATAGGATTTAAGATAATTTTAAAGTATTTTTTTTCATGTTTCTCCCTAGTTTTATTTCATACTCACACATTAAAATATGCAATATCGCTTCTAATACAAGTTTAATTTCCTTTTCATTTCTTCAGGTATGACATCTACATATATGTTAGGTTTATCCACTTAGAAAGAGTATATTTATTAAGTGATTTAGGAAAGCAGTTGTCAAATTTGAAACCTGTCTTTTTTTATGGTACAGCAAGTAGTAATATACCGAATCTTCTAGGCTTACACCCCTGCATTTAAATTAAATTCTCTATCAGAAATGCTTGAATAGATTAAATGTGCATATAAAACCTAAGATTAACTGGCAAGCAGAAGTTAGATCACACCTGGTCAGAAAGTTCAGATACTGAGTAGTCATGGGCCTCCACTGCAATCTCTGACTGCCTCAGGTGCAGAAATAAGGCTCTACTTCTGCGCTACTCATCTTGAATTCTGGTCGCATACTTCATGTATTCAACACAAAAAAGTACTTTTTGTTGTTGTTGTTGTTGTTTGTTTTAAAATTAAATTTAATAAGTGATGGTCCCTGTCAGCTTCATCACTCCTCTCTGAAAGATCAAGAGCTATACAAAGAAGCAATATTAAGGGAAGATTAAAAGAGACTCAAGCAAATGAGAGAATTTAAAGGACTAAAATCTAAACAAAATCAGATAGCTAGATAAAAAGATAACCAGTAGAGAGACATCAGATCTGTGACAACAAAATATAGGCAGTGGCATAGGCAGGAATTAAATGAAAATAAAGGTGAGTGAGTCTCAGAAGAGTAAAAGCACAGGGATGGGGGAGGTAAAAAGAACAGAGAAAATATCAGCAAAAAGGAGGAAAGAAGGATCAAAGTAAAAAAAATAGATGTACAAGACATAAAGAGAAGTTACAGATCAAGCCTAATATTGCATTTTATAGGTAAGTCATCAAACAAACACCTCATTTTGAAATGATACCAGGGAAAGAATCTGTCTTACTGGAAGATTTAGCAGAAAAATAAATAAATAAAACAAAGTATTAACACAATAGATATTATTTCAGGTGAAACCATTGTGTATTTCCACAGTTAGACCTCCATTTATTTATAATGCGAAAATATGCATCACTTTAATGGATACTAAACTGAAGAAATTCACACTTAGTTCAGTATAGCAGCTAGATCAAAACCAAAGGGTTGAAAAGGACAGAGGGAAGGACATGGTCATAAAGCTTTATATAGTTTGTTATAGCTTGTGAGTTCTGCACAGTATAAGTGCTCCTGAAACAGCAGTCACTTCAGAAGGCAAAACGATAACAATGTTAGTATATGGAAAAAAAAGCAAATTCTGTTAGCATATAACAACAGGGATAAATGTTTTATTTTTGCTCTATTGAAAAGAAATAGAGAACATCTAAAGAGAAAATAACTTCTTATCTAGATTTCCCATACAACGAGAAAAAAGGTTTGGTAAAAGAGAAATGAGAATAACTTCTCACATAACCCAATCACAGCAAAGAAAATAGAAACATTTTCTCTATACATATTAAGAAATGGTGTTGTTTGTTGTTTTTTTAAAGCTTGGAAACACTATGTATGGAAGTGGTTAAATAATTAAAACACATTATTATTATTATTATTATTATTATTATTATTATTATTATTATTATTATTATTATATTATTATCCATGAGTATTTGGATATATTTTGTATTGTAAATGTAAGACAACCACAAATCCTTGGGCCCAAACGGATACACCCGAGGGTGCTGAGGGAACTGCCAAGCGTTATTGCTTATCCACTCTCTATCCTCTTCAAAAAGTCTTGGAGAACAGGAGAGTTGCCTGAG